TGCCATAATTCCCGTATATGTGTAGCATAGTCTTAGAACGCAAACAGCTCATATGTGAAACCAATTCAAAGTTTTTCCACATTTGAAAGGCATTGTAAAATTTAAAGGACAAACAATAATTACACTGGAAGACAAAGTAACTCTTTTGAAATGATCGATCATTAAAAAAACAATTTGGATTAACCATGTAAAAGAGAAGAGAGTCCTTTTTTTCCTATGTGTAAAATATTGCAAGGCTGTGTTACATGAAGAAACAAAGATTATAGAGTTTGTCAGGTGGGTGGATAAGTACGGATTTAAGATATGACTCAAAAATGTACCACAAAAAGTAGAAAAAAGATATTGTAAGTGTGTCAGGCAATTTATAGAAATATTTTTATGGCCTTTGTGATTTTATGTAATTTTTCAACTTTTAAAACTTTTGCAATTTTATGATTTATTTTTAATACACATCACACTTACTTTTATATTATTTTCTTAAAAGAGGTCCCTGTCATAGTCTGTTCCTGATGCTATAACAAAATGCCCTAGACTGAAATTTATAATGAACAAAAACTTTAATAGTTCCAGAACAAAAATAGTTCTGGAGGATGGGAAGTCCACGATTAAGTTGCCAGCAGACAGAGGGCTGCTCTCTGTGTCCAAGACAGTACATTGTTGTGGAAGCCTCAGATGGGGAAAGGGCAAAGGGGAGGAGCACTGTGTCCTCACATGGCAGAGGAGAAGGAAAGAGAGAGACACCAGGCTTGTAAGGACATGAACCTCATCACAAAAAAGGGTTCTAAAACCTTCTAAAACTACACCCCTCAGTACTATCACCTTGGGGATTAAGTTCCAACATAGGACTTCTGGAGAAACATACACATTTAAATCACAGAAGCCTCCAGATGATATACAGGTGCATCTCAACTTACGATAGGGTTACGTCCTGACAAACCTATCATAAATTAAAAATGCTCTAAGATTGGCAAGATTCATTCCCTTACTTTTGGACTACATAACACATTACACAGATCAAAATTCAACATACAAAAGTCTCATTCCACTGTCTGTGCCCAGTCACTCTCTCACTCCACAGAGCACTTTGTGGTTAGTTTCATGCTCTTCTTTCCAGAGTTCAGTTGTCCTGCACAGTCTTCATCTCCAAATCATCAGAATTCAATGATCAAAACACTGGGAAAGAAAAACTGCAACTTTACTAAACATGTACTGACCTTCTTTTCCTGTCAGACTTCATAATTTCCTCTCTTAAATTCTCCCCTGTATCCTCACTGTACAGCACAAGTTAAAACCTGAGTGCCAGAAGAGAATCCCAAATATCACTGTGCTCCTCCACACTCAGCACCTAGATCAGGAGTTGTATCTTATCATTTCAGTATCTATAAAGCACAGGGTTGTATTTTAGAGACACTAAATAGAAGCTGGCCCAAAGCAGAATAAACTGTAGTCACTGATATGATAGCATAAATTTACAGTAACCCCTGAAACTTTAAAAGATAACTGAGTTAAATTAAAAAACCTAGCATTGCACTGTGAAAAATGTGCTCTTCTTTATATTGAATGTAAAATGGATATAATGTATTACTTGCTGTTTTTACATAAGTTTAATTTTTTCCTTAAGCTTCTCAGAAAGATATATATTCTCAGAAATACATATATATATATTCTCAGAAATATATATATATATCTTTCTTAAGCATTCAGAATGCTATATATATATATATACATTTTCATTCATTGAAATCGGTGTCCTTAGTTAGCAGCGAAGACCCTGCATTCCCTACAGCACTTTTCTGGGGCAGTCAGTTTTCATTCAAGTGAATTTTGGATTTTAAAAGTTAATAGGGGGCTGAGAGTGTCGCTCAGTGATACAGCACTTGGCTCTTAGGAAACCCTAGGTTTGATTCCCCAGCGGCTGAGGGGTGAGAAAAAAAGTCAGTCAGGCAGAAAGTCTCAGACTCCTACCACCACCATCCTGAATCCCGAACACTCTGACTGTCGGGTAGGAACAAAATTTGTCAAGTCTAAGCAGTCATATAGGGCCAGATGACAAAGGTGACTACTGGTGTAGAAAGGCATTAAACATTTGAATAGAACCAGTTCCATTCTTTATCCTAACCAGGGTCCTCTAAGACTCGTTTGCAGAGGGTACGGTTATCACTCTGTTCACTGTGCCACCTAAGTTCAGTGCAGAGAAATTTATACTAAGTGGATTCTTATTACCCCAACTGTTTTACTGTTTTATTTTCTTAAAGATTTCACACTGATGTTAAGGTGCAGAAACCACTCTTAGAGTACTAGAGAGGACAATGAAGAGAACTTTTGACACTGGATTACTTAAGGATGATTTAAAGCATAATTTAGATCTCTCTGTCTCTCTTGGTCTTTGTGGTAATGAGGTAATGAGGATTCAATCTAGGAGTGTGTTACCACTGAGCTGAGCTACATCCACAGCCCTCTTCCCCCTTTGAAAATTTGTCTTGATTTTTAAGCAGGGTGTCAGTAAATTGCTCAGCCTGACCTTGAACTTGTGATCCTTCTGCCTCAGGCTCTTGAGTAGTTGGGATTACAGGTGTGGACCATTGTGCCCAGCTGAATTTTCGTGTTTTAAGAAATCTTTCTGGAAAACTCTAAAATTTCTGATGTGAAAGTGCTTTTAAATTAAAATATTTTAAATTATT